ATTTAAGTTAGGTTTAATAATATAATTTTTTAAAAAGATAATAACTAAATATTATGTTATAACTCTATGATTATCTTAATTATATTTTATATTTTTTATATTTTAAAATGCGATGTTTATCCTATATTCGATTATGTTTACCTACATTTAGTTACACAAATTCAAACATTGAGTTTTAATAAGTTGTATTTATGCACAATTTACTTGTAATCTTGAATTTTGAGTAATATACATCAATAAACAATATTTCATTCATAAAAATTAATTTTTAAGAGTTTTTGTCAAATACTTTATAATATAGTATAGATATATGATATATGATATATGATATATGATATATGATATATGATATTTATATATAAAAAGAAGAAGTTGTAGTTTCAATAAAACAAACACCACGTAGAGCTATATATATATATATTTGTGAAAAGACGTTCACATAGCTAACAACCACCACACTTCATCCCAAAATAAAAGGAAAAAACCCACATACCCATCACACCTGTTCGTAGCCAAACACACTCACCCGCACACCGCTCTCGCTCTTCAATTAATACTTATAATCTCTGTTTCTAGAGAGAGAGAAGAGTTTTTCTAGAGAGAGATAGACGCGTAAACACACACACATATATACATACTCATATCTATATCTATATATATATATATAATCTTGATCGATTTGAATCGAAAAGATTGATTCATGGAAACACATATGGTGGATATAGAGGCACAATCGGCACCCCACAAAACTCCTTCATCGATCTGCAACAAAGTTGACCGTCCAGTTATATTGAAGGTTCATTTTCTTTTCATCATCTATCCAAGAAGATGATCGCCATCACCCATGAATGAATATATATATATATATATATATACATATCGTTTCTAATCATACATTTTCAAGAACTCAAATCTTCCATTGTAGGGGTTTTAAGAAGATATGATGAGCTATATATATTCATGGCCTCTTTTTATTCTTGATTATACATATATATATATATATATATATATATATATTATTCCATATTAGGGTTTTAGATTTTCTGTAAACAATAATAAGGGTTTTACTGTAGAGCCAATGTTTAATGTTTTTTTAAATCTTTATAGTTTTCTTGTTCATATTTGGCTCATGGTTTACCTTTGATTCAGATGAAATTTATTTTCATCAACAGAGTCTGTTTGACTTCTAGAGGTGTAGCCATCTCTTAATTAAATTCATACTGCATTTGAATCGATATATGCATATACATTAATTAACTCTTTAAGAAAAAGAGTTAAGATGAGAAGAATAAGAATGAATCTAGACATCTTATTACCTTTAATCTCAAACTCACTCAAATATGATTGACCGGTGCATCTCATCTTAATCTCCATCAAATGATGGAGATCTTTCTTACACTTCTCGCTTTTAACTCTCCATCTCACTGAATCCAATCCTATATATATATATATATATATATATATATATATATATATGGGCCTAATCAAATGAGAACTAATTAGTTTGTGGTAATTGTGAGAACTAATATTAACCATAAATCAATAGATAAATTAGGAAATTTATAATTTTGCCAATTTTGAATTAAAATTTTAATGCAAGGATATTTTTGGTATTTTAAAAACTTTCCTTCCTCCTCTCTACTCTCTCCGGCCACCGTCTTCCGGTGATACTACAACGGTATCACAATGCATCATATATGTGCTTGGGTATCACATTGATGTCGTTTGTGTGGTCGATCGAAGATGTAACACAGTGGTATCACTATGCATCTTATATATATGATTAGGTATCACAGTGTATCTTTTGTTTAACAGAGTCAATATTTTTAGGTATCACAGTGGTATCATAGTGGTATCACCGGATGACGGTGGCCGGAGAGAGAAACGAGGAGAGAGGAGAGTTTTAAAATACCAAAAATATCCTTGCATTAAGATTTTAATTTAAAATTACCAAATTTATAAATTTCCTAATTTATCTATTGATTTGTGGTTAATATTGGTTCTCACAGTTATCACAAACAACTCAGTTCTTCCTTGAATAGGCCCCTATATATATATATATATATAAAATGAGGATCTTACTGCATGAGTATAAATTTTTTGCTTATGGGTTTGAACAGTTTCAAGAAGTGGTTTATACGGTCAAAATCAAGAAACAGGGATGGCTAAAGAAGAAAGAAGTAATAGAAAAACAGATATTAAAGGGGGTTTCAGGCACGGTGTTGCCCGGAGAAATGTTGGCAATGTTAGGCCCATCTGGCTGTGGTAAAACGACCCTCTTGACGGCACTCGGTGGCCGACTCGGTGGCAAACTCGGAGGGACGATCAAATACAATGGCAAACCGTTTTCGAGTATAATGAAGCGAAACACTGGTTTTGTCACTCAAGATGATGTTCTATACCCTCATTTAACAGTCATTGAAACCCTAGTTTTCACCGCTCTACTCCGGTTGCCTAATACTCTCACCACTCGCGAAAAGGTTATGCACGCTGAATCGGTGATAAATCAACTTGGTTTAACGCGATGCAAGACTAGCATTATCGGTAGCTCGTTTCTAAGAGGGGTATCGGGTGGGGAGCGTAAACGAGTTAGTATCGGGCAAGAACTGCTTATAAACCCTAGTTTGTTGTTCTTGGATGAACCAACATCAGGGCTCGATTCAACGACCGCTCAAAGGATCGTTTCGACATTATGGGAATTAGCAAAAGGAGGAAGAACAGTTGTGATGACTATTCATCAACCCTCAAGTAGGCTTTTTTACATGTTTCACAAGGTGTTGCTGTTATCAGAAGGAAATCCATTGTTTTTTGGCAAAGGATCGGAAGTAATGGAATATTTTCAGAGCATTGGGTTTTCACCATCGGTTGCGATGAATCCTTCGGACTTTTTGCTGGATCTTGCAAATGGTATGTATATGTAGCTGCCCAATCTTAAGCATATATAGCAAAGAATGTACATTGTTCATAATCAATTTTGCATATACATATACTGTAATACCACATCCCACATGGATAGAAAATGGGAAGTAAGCGTCTTATAAGCCTCAAGCTGTGAGCTACCAATAACTTTCATCATGGTTTTAAGTTGGATTTGAAGTTATTGAGCTAGTTGTTTTGGGTTTGAGGTGTTACACATGGTATCAGAGCTGGAACCGGACTAGTGTGCCAGTGCCAATGACGGCACTGGGCTCCAAGGAGGTGGATTGTAAGATTCCATAACGGTTGGAGAGGGGAACTAAGGTTGCCTTATAAGGGACTGGATACCTCGTCTACCGGACGCGTTCTAAAACCGTTAGTCCAGGTGTGGACAAAACGGACGATATCTTGTACTTAGCCTAGGATGTTACATATTATAACTAAATTCGTAAATTTCAAAATTATAGGGATATCATCAGATGATTCGAGTCATGAGGATCAAAATGCAATCAAGCAGAGGTTGGTTTCGGCTTACAAGTCGAATCTAGCCATGAAAGCGGAAGCATTAGACGCCGACGATCACCACCTTAACTACGTATCAGACTACAAG